ACGCAATGAAAGCAATAAAAATAAAAGGAAAATGTTGGTTCTCTTTTGCATATTTGATCTGTTCATGAATTATGAAAGTCAAGCTTTTTGGGAATAATTTCTTTTTCAGTCTACTATATGGTGCTTATGGTGTTTTCTTCTGGTTGGGTCAAATGCTGAGTCAGCAGAACTGGCGGGTGTTTTCCTCAAAACAATGGAAGGAAAAAGGTAATAGGTCAAAATATGTTAATGCAATACTAAGCAGATGGCAAAATGTTGAAGATCGCAATATGATTGTATGATAACTTAAGAATCATGATAGGTATAGCTTGGCTTCTGGTGATTTCAAACCCCAATATTCTGTACCCCTGTAGTAGTTCAATTCAAGACCACCTATAACCAAATGTGGAACTTGATAATGACCATAACGTGTTGACGCCTAATAAACCTTTAATATTGGATTTCATGTGTTTCAGTTGCCTTAGTATAGAACAAGCATTGTATAGCCTAGTTATCTCAGGGTTTTATATAGATAATATTAAGCCTAAAAATGTGTATATATTGAATTACTACAGTCTGATTATAACACATTGGTATATTAGCATCCTGCACATAAGATTCACACATTATCATCAAGACTCTGCACAGACAACTCCCTTATATGTTTTCAGCCTATACCTCTATCTACCACAGATGCTTGCGCTAACAAAAGTAAATAAAACCTCAGGGTACCAGAAGACGAAAGTTGGAGAGATATCAAAAAAGGCATACTTAATGTGTCTACAACCTAATTTTGGCCAGAATCTTTATCATACTGCAAACTACTGACAGCATTATGGGGACAAAACAGTTAAGGTAAACAGTTGTGCTTTTTACCTTGAAAGCTTTCTGCTGAAAAATGGAGAGCATGTTATCTACAGGTGCAGGCAGTAAATGGAACCACCATTTTATTGTGTCCACTAAGTACTGTCATTCAACATAGGCCTAATTATGTAATTGAAAATTATTCCATGTAATTGTAATTTTGTGTTACACATGATTAGTCGTAATACTAACAATGGAAGGCAGTTCATTGCAGTGATTACCAGCTTGAGAGTCTCTTAAGTTTAATATTATGTATCAAAAAATATTACAATCAGGAATACAGGGGAGAACATAACCCAGCCCTATTGTGTTACATTCCATCTAAGTAATTCAAGATCTTTTTCAACATTACAACAAGATTTTGAACATTTCTAAATGAATTATTCTCCGATATTTTTGTGTAAAGACATTTCAATCATATAAGTATACTGTAAAAAATATAATAGAGTTTGAGTGAGCAGCTTTGTCTTTAGCCTTCAGCCTTGAGTTTAATGCCTCAGGTCACAAGCTTTTGATAATGGGTCAGTTTTGCAGTGTATAATGGTTGGGTGAATAGCTGCTGCAGGTGCTTGCTGCATTTAGCTGAAAACCAAACCTGCATCACTCAAGGCAAGCAATGCCTTTCTCCCATGTCACGGATTGTGTCATAAGAGAGATTAATAAGAAATAACACCAATAATTAAACTGACCCTGTACAATGAGACAACCTTCGGAACAGTCACCTATATTGTCCAAATATCTTGCACATGAATTAAAGTAATTATAAATAAACAGGCCGAACAAGGGACAACTTGTTCCAAATCAAGTTAGATTTTTCATGCATCATTGTTTCCTGTTTGTTGCCCTTCCAAACTTCCTTCCATCCATATACAAGCGCGACACTAATGTCTTAGGATAAGCCAGTAATATATTAGTTTAAATCACAGGACCAGTTGTTTTTTATAATCTAGTTTGTGTGTAGGATAAGTGTTTGGTAATTGAGATAAACAACAAGATAAGATAAGCCTTATCTGAGAGATGCCATTGGATGAGTAAGCATGTCAGCAGACCTTAATCAAAGCGCCTGCCAAAACCCAATAGAGACAAAAAACGGACAAACTCATGCTACATACACTTCTGATAGAACTACTGCCCACAACAACATGATCAAATGGAAATGTAAATAACACTAAACTTAATGAAAGTAACTCATCTGAGATAAGTATGGGAACAAAACGCTCATGTACACATGACAGTATGACCAACCTGTTTTATAAAAGGGCAACAAATGCATCCTGAATAGCATAACAGCAAATTAAAAAGTCCTGCTGTAAAAAGCACCATCCAAAAATGTTGTAGTGCTAATTGTTTTGAGTTGCACTATAATGTACAATTATTTCAATTGTTTTAACACAACTAATACGGCCAATTGAAAAAAACTGAAAATAAAAACTCAAATGTATATAATCTCTATAAGCATCTCCACTGTGACTTTGTCAGATCCGGAAAGGCACAGGTGAACCTAATATACTGTAGCGATCTGCATTTATTGTTCAAGTGTTCTGTTAACTGTTTGTGTCAGGCTTCTGTGAGGAGAGCAGGTATGGGCGGGGTTGGGGAGGAGAGGGTTTGGTGTGTGTGTGTCTGTGTGGGCGCGTGCAAGAGAGTGAGAGGTTGGCGCGAGAGGAGAGAGAGTGAGAAAGGACGGATGAGAGCCGTTGGTTGTTAATAAACCTGTTTAACTTGAGAACGCTTCACTCGTCATTCCGACACGTCCGGGTGGACGTTACAATACTAATTAATTATGGCTCTGTTAAATAACGTGAGTCCATTACATCGTGACAGTAAGCAGTCGTTTGAAAAAATAACATTAGCTACATTTTTGCTTTTTGGCTAGCTTAGCGTTAAACACATTTTAGAATTCCCCTCACTTATAGCAACTTACCTCAAGTTTACAGATGCAGCGGGACTGATTATCTTTCTGCCATGTTGCTCTTCGTGTCCATAGTTAAATTTACTCTATTAGCAATACGAAAACTTGACGCTTGCCTGGCTTTAACATATCATAACATGTGATAAATTAGCAAAGCCGTTGGCTAGCTAGAGCTGGACACTTTCTTACCCACTGAGCAATTGTTCTAATAATGTTAATTAAAAAAAGACACAAAAGCGAACAGATCCCTCTTCACGCGCCTTCTACACTGTGACATACTGTAGAATCTACAGGTGTTTTACTCTCGGTCTAATCGCCAGATAGCGTTTATGTGTTAGTGGGAATGTGGAATATGTTGGCTGCATTCACGAATAATCGGTAACTGAGAAGATTAGTTCAATTGAGAGGATGTCTCTCCTTTGACTCCTTTTGATATACAAATCTGGCTCTGTGAAAACTCTTAATACAGGCTACATAACAGCCATAAATGTGTCTGAGCATATGAAGCAACGTCAACAGAATGTGTTATCGTTTATAACCCATTTTTGAGCATCTGTTGAGGCAATGCATATTTTGATTTTTGGCTTGATGTAAGGTAGTTGTTCCACTTGAAAGGAGATAAAGCTAATACCATACTTAATCATTCTTCCAAAGAACAATATGCAAAGTCATAGCCAGAATATATGCGGCAAAACTATGTGAGATCATAAGCCTTGAAAGCAGCATTATGCAACAAAAGTATCCAAAGTGATTCATTTGCTAAAGTTTCAACAATGATTCAGCTCTTCAATTATTCACCCCCTCCGTACATCGTCCGTTGTATAAGCATGTGATTTTATGAACCTCTCTACAGAGTATGAGTTACATAAATGAGGCAGGAGATCTCCTTTTGGCACTGTCTTTTAGATTGTTTCAGAGAAAAATGCTGGACCCCACACTCACCTGTGACAGTGCATGCTTGTCTCTACACTATAAGATTTCCTTAAAGAAAAAAAGCTTTTGACAGGTTTAAGAGCTGGCAGGTGTATCAGCTCAGACGTGAGATAATCTTCTCATAGTACACAGAACATTTATTATCTATAAAGAGGGGCTTTATTTTGAGCAATTTGGTTTGACCAGACAAAACCTTTTTGGCATTTATCTTTGAAAAAGATAAAAAAAACTTTAAAGGGTGTTTCATTTGGGGAAATAGAGAAAAAAACTTCCGAAGATATGGCAGTTAATGATTCTTTCTGAATCACATGTTCTACTTATGGCCAAACAACTCAATATTTATATATTAAAGGATTTTTCCCACAAGGGTGGTCCATAATTGATGTCTTACAGCCTGCACAGTTGCACCAATTTTTTATGTTTGAGAGTTTGATTGAGGTCATGTTGGTGAATTAAGTATGTTTAATAAGAAACATTATCATGTATTAATCTAAATATGCATTTCATACAAACGTCACATGCACTGGCTATTATGAGCAGCATCTTATCTGCATCAGTAAAGATATCCTATACTATAAATCAGTTCATTAGGATGAGCTTTTACAGCAAAAATCTCCGTAGGTGTTCGGATCAGGGGGTCACAGGTTCAAACCCCACTGCAGTCAGCATGTTGTTGCGTCCCTGGGCAAGGCACTTCACCCCAAATTGCTCCTGTGGGGATTGTCCACAGGATTGATTATGTAAGTCGCTTTGGATAAAAGTGTCTAACAAGTGACATGTAATGTAATGTGCAGCTACTGAGCTGCCCTGTGAATAACTAAAGCCAACTTAGCTAGCTCATTCAGAAATTAATGATGGCAGGCCTAAACTTTCCAGTTAATGGGTTGCTTTGAATATAAACACAGGGCTGTTTAAATTGTGTTTCACATAGGACATGGTCTGGACTTTGTGTACTGCACTTTTTGTTTGAACAGAATCATGTATTTTTTTTTCTATTGCCGCTCACAATATACATTTTAATGATATGTATATTATGTTTAAGTTAGTGTCCTATGATCATTTGATACCAAAACAAAAAATTGTGTAAATTTAAAATCTAATCTGAGTTTCTGAAGTTCAGAAGGGCATTTGATTTCTGCACAAACCATGTCAGAAACTGTCCACAGTTGGACTACACTCCACACACAATACTGCTGACGTGCCTGACAATAATGAGCAGTCTTTATCATGGGTACATTTTATATGAACCTTTCAGCAGAGATGCCACTAAACGCAGCCTTCAAGGTGCGTGCCTTCAGGGCCTCTTCCTTACCTTGTCCTGAAGTTAGCCGGGTGTGGATGCCCGTCATACAAAGATAAAAAGTCATATTCCTCCTCCACAGCGAAAGATTGAAAAACTATATTAATCCTGCTCCCCTCCTCAGCAACAATCACCCAGGTACAGTTTGCTCCATTTGGATATCCATATGGAAAGCCGGGGCTTTCTATCGTCCCATTCCTCCCTTTTAAAGTGCCTCCACAAGTATGAATAAAACCTGGGGGGAAGGGGAAAGAAAAAAATGCAGTCATTATCAAATGCCAAGTAATGATAAAATGCATGCTATTCAACATGTGGAAGGAAACAAGCACATTGTAGAAATCCTTACAGAGAATGTACTTAATATTGAATGGCGTACACATCCGAGTAGCAATAAATAAACAGAGTGGCTTTAAAACTTTTTAATAGGTCTATACAGATGCTATTCAATGTAACATTTTTGTAACAACTGTGTAACCTGTAAACTCCAGGCGCAATAATTCTCCCACAAATAATTTGAAAAATGCTCAATGTTTCCAGCTGGCAGATGCTGTTAGCTGAACAAGAGCCAATTTTTGTGTTTCCATTTATGTTTTCAGTTCCATTTCTAATTAAAAAAAACAATAGGTTGTAACAAACACAACTGTCATTATGGAGGAGAAATGTGGGACTATGATGTTTTCAATGTTTTATCGCACAAAAATCTAGTGCCGTATCATTACTGCCCACTTCTTTGCAGTGGGTCAGAAAGCCCTTAGAGAATAGCAACAAGCAAGGTCTTCCAATTTGGGGCCACAAGCCCTTAACACTCGGTTTCACAGCCCACACAACATATATCTTTTCGCCTTGCTGCACTAGCTTGCTGAAAAATCAATATCCTCGACATATTAGGTTAAGCATTATACTATCATTCTCAAAATACAATAATAAGATTTTACCAGCCTAACCTTTTGGTGTTACAGAAATGTAAATGAACAAATGCTCGCTAAGTAACTGTATCTCAAACATATACAAACATAATCTGTCTCCCTCATGCAAAGACATTTACAGCTTGCCTTTTCTCACACAATACAACTTTTTTTTCCGCATTTCCACATTAAGTATACTCCAACACCCACACTGACAACGTCTGACAATGATTCCACACACTGCAAGAGAGAAGGTCCATTTTATTTGAGGCTATCTTGCACCTTGTCTAATGAAATGCAAACTTAATTAAGATGCATGGTTTACCCCCCTACAATTTACTCCTAGTGTAATTAGCTTTTCACACTCGGTAGGTAAAGGATGTTTTGCATAGTGTTGGCCATATACAGACACAGATCACTTGGCAGCTGAAATTGCCTTTAACTAAATAAACAGTAGTTATTTTTTTCTGATAATATGGACACCTTTTATACATTTGAGCAAACACAATGTTCTGACACAAACCAACAATGAATTCCCCTTCTGTCAAGCTGTTTCATTACTTTAGGACAAAGCCCTGCAGCTGTTTACTCTACTCCTCAAAATACCACTGTTTGGACAAATATGATAATTGTATGGTACAATTTTCCCCAATCTTTACTTCTCGCAGTAACTACAGGATATTACCCTCATAGGGGTCCTGACCCAGAGTCCCTGACAATATATATCCACCAATTGTCCAGATGACTGACCCCCGAGACCAATTCCCGTCTCCTGCAGCAGGGATCAAGTGTACTGACCTTCTTACAGATCCGGTTACAGATAAAGGATATATCACGGCCATAAGGTTTTATGATGTTGTGTCTCATGATGAGCTGCTGCTCTAACTGAAGTGTGTATGTGTGGGGAGGGGTTGATCTTTCCAAGGTATTTCTGAATTGCAATTATTCCCACTGCCATTGAGTGACCAGAGTAATCAGGGCACATTTTCAGCATTGATACATAGCCTACCTAAAGGGTCAACATTATCCAACATGGACAACCTCCAACCTGACACATGCATTATTGCTGCTTTCAAGTGCTCTCAGGGATATCGTATTTAGCAGGACAGCCCTCTTAACTGACCCAACGGTATGTATGGCAGCTTGTTTTGACCTAAAAGTTACTGGTATATTTATTTTTACTTGGTTAGATTTTGTCTGTTTCTATGTTCCTTGATCATTGAGGCTTCACCCATTCTTGAATAAAATTAACTAATATAGAGTCTTCCTGTGAGATATCTGATCCACATTGCATTCCTTTTAACAAAGCTATCACTAAAGAGCCACCAACATATTATCATATACAGTAGTAGTTATGTTTTCCTTATGTTTCTAACTTAAAGCATTTCATAGTTTGAATAAGTGTAGGTAAGACAGTTCAAACAAAAGTTATAGCTAATGAATAGCACTAAAAGACATAGCAGAATGATCCCCACCCACGCTGCCTTTTAAAATGGCCTTGAAAAACAAGTTTGAGAAAGATAGTCCATTACTGATAGTGAGCCCACCTGCAGTTGAACTCGAAGTAACAGTTTAGACTTAATTCACTTCAGTAAAAGCTGGAGGATCAGATCATTATGAGGACAGAAATGCATAACAGCACACTATTTGAATACTGATGCACGGCTTCAGTCTATTGTTTATCCTGGAGAGTCACCTCTTCCATTTTCATGAGCTTAATTATAAAAATGTATTGGTACCACTTTACAATAAGACTACCCTTATAAAGGATTCATAAAGGGTTTATAATTAGGTTATTAATTAGGTTGTAAACACTTTATTAATCATTAAGAACCATTTATAAACCAGTTCTAACATAGTTTTCATACGTCAACACAGGCTCACTATTTGGCAAGATGACTAAGCCTTATATTGGCTACCTAGCGTACTTCGTCTTCTTCATCAGCCAACATCCTTGGTATCTGTTTTTCACTGAGTTGATTCCCCCCCATCCATCTTGATGTTTCTTGGCATCTCTTTATGACCATTTATTTACGAGTTATTAACATTTATAGTTGCCAAAAGGGAGCCTTATTGTAAAGTGTAAAACACATTCCCATTTATTAATGAGTTACTACCATTTATATTAAGGCTTAGCAGTACAGATAAATGTGGGCTCACTATTTGGCAAGCAACCGGTCACAGTTGCCCTGTTTATCTCATGTCTTATAAAAGCTTATTAATGATTTATAAAGTGTTCACAACCTAATTAATAACTGAATTACAA